CATATGGAATCACAAAAAACCCCGAATAGCCAAAGCTCTCCTGAAAAAAAAAGAAGGGAATGGAGGCATCAGACTCCCAGACTTCAAACTATACTACAAAGCCATAATCATCAAAACTGCATGGTATTGGAACAAGAACAGACATACAGACCAATGGAATCGAATAGAAAATCCAGAAATAAACCCACAGATTTATGGTCAACTAATCTTTGACAAAGGAGCAAAGACTATGCATTGGAGCAAAGAAAGTTTGTTCAATAAATGGTGCTGGGAAAACTGGGTCGCTACATGCAAAAGAATGAAGCTTGACCACCACCTCACACCATACACAAAAATCAACTCAAAATGGATTAAAGAACTAGACATAAGACCTGAAACCATAAAATATATAGAAGGAAATATAGGCGAAACACTACGTGATTTGCACATCAAAGACATCTTTACAGACACATCACCCAAAGCAGTGATAGTGAAGGCAAAGATAAACAGCTGGGACTATATCAAATTAAAGAGCTTTTGCACAGCAAAAGAGACAATAACAAAAACAAAGAGAAACCCCACCAACTGGGAGAACATTTTTGCACCCAACACTAATGATAAAGGACTGATCACAAAAATCTGCAAAGAGCTGATGAGACTCAACAACAACAAAGAAAATAATCCAGTCAAAAAATGGGCAGAAGAGCTTAAAAGAAACTTCTCTGAAGAGGAAATGCAAATGGCCAACAGGCATATGAAAAAATGTTCAACATCACTTGTCATCAGGGAAATGCAAATCAAAACTACCATGAGATACCATCTTACACCAGTGAGAATGGCACATATTAAAAAAACTAGCAACAACAAATGTTGGCGAGGGTGTGGAGAAAAAGGAACTCTTCTGCACTGTTGGTGGGAGTGCAAACTGGTCCAACCTCTGTGGAAAGCTGTGTGGAGATTTCTGGACCTACTAAACATAGAGCTTCCATATGACCCAGCAATTCCACTCCTAGGTATTTACCCAAAGGACACAGAAACATCAATTCCAAAGAACACCTGCACCCCTATGTTTATAGCAGCACTGTTTACAATAGCTAAGCTTTGGAAACAACCCAAATGCCCAAAAATAGATGACTGGATCAAGAAGATATGGTACATATATACCATGGAATATTACTCAGCATTCAAAAAAGATAAACACATGCAATTTGCTGCAACATGGATGGTGCTGGAAGGGATCATGCTCAGCGAAATAAGCCAAAAAGAAAAAGAAAAATACCGGATGGTCTCACTCATAGCAGGAATCTAGAAAACTTAAATAATGGACCAGGAAAATGAAAAACTATAAGAAAGTGAAAATCAAAATCAACAAAAAACTATGAACCAGAGACACTTTTAGGGGGGCGGGGCGGGAGGGGAGGGATTGGGGTCAGAATGGGGGGCGGCAATTGTATGGGGAATATAACAATAAAATTTATAAAAAAAAAAAAAAATAAAGAGAAGCACACCAAAAAAAAAAAAAAAAAAAAAAATTGTAGACTATCAAAAAAAAAAAAAAAAAAAAAAAAAGAAAATATCAAAATCAACAAACAACTATGAACCAGAGACACTATATGGGGGTGGGGGCCGGGGAAAGGAGGGCTTGGGGTCGAAATATGGGTGTGTAATTGTATGGGGAATATAAAAATATAATTTAAATTAAAAAAAAGAGATGTGGGTTCTAGTCTCAGACCACCACCTGTAGGTACTGTGACCCGGTCCAAGTTTTGAAGTTTTCAGGCCAAGTTTCCTCATCCCTAAAATGGGACTAAGTTTATCTCAAGCAAGGTAATGAGGGAATCAATAGAGATAAGATGGGTATGAAAATTCATGAGCAATAAAATATTTTAATTTGGTCTTGAAAAAAAACATTTTTCTTACCAATGGAGCTGAAAAACTGCACTAATCAAGTTTGAACAAATATGACCATATCCTTATAGAACTTAGGTTTGTAAAGCATTGTCATTAGTGACCTAGTAATGTATCATAGATATTCCACTGATATTTAGAGTCTTGTGACCACCAACTACCATTTCTTATTAAGGTCTGCCTATGTGGTTTGTGCTTTGGATCTGTTTAGTCCTCCACTGGATGCTTACCTCTTAAGCTCTCTCCAGTCTCCTTTCCTTGATCTACATAGTTCATTCTTTATTTTCCACAATACAGATTCAAAAACCCATTGAAAAAGCAGCTGTGCTTGGAGAAAGCAACTGGCAGATCAGGAAAATCCTTTTTTTTTTAAGCCTTACCCCTAAATTCTCTGCACTTGGCTCTTCCAATTGCTTATTACTGAGCAAGTTTCACCATAGTGATACAGAGGGGAGACTCCTTTGTCCCAATTTTAACTGACTTGAGAATCTGTGACCCCTTTATTCTTGGACTCAAGTGACAAGTAAGCCTGTTAATTTTGTGCCCAGAATGGGGGATGGGGGGCAGAAGGGAGTATTATATGACGAGTAATGATTTGGGGAGATTAGTTTTGCTCAAACTTTTCTTGACGCAGCTGGTGTGTGAGAGCATTCAATGAACCTCACATCTCTTTTTGAATCCTGGTTTAACCAATTTGAGCTGTGTGTTAGGACACTGCACAGACAACCTTTTCCCCTGGAGACAGCATTCTCCCCTTTCAAATAATTTCTCTTTTATAGTGCTTTTCAGAGTTTGGGCAGTGAGAAATGAGTGCATGGTAAAAGACTTAGAAATTTATTTAGCTAATTATTTTGTTTTATTTTGTTTTTGTTTTTTTTTTTTTAGGTCACTTTAGTTTACATTGTTCTAGTATTTTGAATATGTGCTCCCCCTCCTAGAGCTGTCACCACAGTGCTCCCACCAACAAAGTACTCATCCTCCACCACCATAAATCATTGTGCTCCCTCCAGCTTCTACATTCCCATCCTCACCACTTCTCCATCCCCTCAACCTCTGAATGACTCAGTTCTCTAGTGAGCTTCCAAGGGTTAAATCTTAAGTTTGAATCTTTAACCAAAGCTTTGGTTGGTTTCTCTGTATTCCACTTGTAAGTGACACCATCTGGTATTTGTCTTTCTCCCACTGACTTAATTTACTTTAGTAGTTGTGTGCTTGGTCATTGAAGTTTAAGTTAACAATTTTCTATATAGGCAGCTGTAATAGAAATACAGTATTTCAAAATATTTAAGGACCCTCAATTTCCACAGGAAAATATCCTATGTTAATATAGCTTGAACTTAGTTATTTTCAATATAAAGTTGTAGAACACCAGATTCTCCTCAAATTAAAATATTCCCAGTTGGTGATTGCCTTGAGTCCAGAGATTTGAGTCATTTTGGTATCAAGTTATTTTCAACAGTGGTTTTGCACCCTGGCTGCACATTGGAACCGATTTTTCTTTCTTTCTTTCTTTTTTAAGTTATCAATACAATCCTTAGTCCAATATAGTTGAACTAAAGGTCCAGAGTGATGACTGGAGAGAAAGAAAACAAGGCGAAAGAGCAATTTTTTTTTTTTATCTTTATCAGTGGACCAAAGGCCACTGAGAGGAGAATATGAGTAGATGTAGCTGATTGGCCTCTTTGTATCTCAGAGCAGCATAAGTTGAAATAACAAGGGGTGTTGTTGTATAAGCTTTAGAGTGCACCCTCAGTTTTCTGATAAGAAGAGAAAGCTACAATGGTCCTGAGTGTGGCCTTAGTGCTCTGTCTCTCCTGTTTGCTCCTCCTTGCTCTCTGGAAACAGACTTCTGAGAGAGGGAAGCTCCCACCCGGCCCCTTGCCACTTCCCATTATTGGAAATATCCTCCAGTTAGATGTTAAGGATATCAGCAAATCTCTAAGCAACGTGAGTATGTTTTATGTTCCTCTGTGGCGTGCAAATGGAAAGTAACTTAACTGCAATTAAAAAAAAAGGTCTTGTTTGCCCATCAGTTCTAATAATAAAATATTAGCATGGTGGCATGCTATCCAAGAAGATTTTGAAATTCAAATGCTCCCAGTCATTTTGATATTTCTCTGCATTTAGTGAGAGACAAACAGATTTTGGATGGTAGAATTGAAAATATAAAGTGACAGAAGGGAGGAGTGTTCTTTGTTCTGCTGCCATTTGCTCTGATTTTGGTGGATGGTGAATGGTAGAAGAAGTGTTTTGTGATTACAGATGTTATTCCAGAAGTCATCTACTACATGACTGTGTGTTTTCTTGAGATTGTTACTAAATTTAACATCTCTCAAGAAACACATTCTGTCTGTATCAAGAGAGGATTCTGGGCTCAGGAAGAGCATGAGTCAACCAAAAGATGAAAAGAAGTAACCAGGCAGGACCAAACTGTGGGAACATCATTCACTTGGGTCTACACAGCTGGTGTCTGATCTTAATGACTATTTCGAGGTGAAAGAAATTATCCTTCCTACAGATGCCTTGGCCCTGACAATGCCTCTATAGTGCCCACTCTGTGTTACTAATACCAGCAGATCAAAAGCTGGGCTGTATATTAAAATTAGCTGAATTGATCATTTAAAATACAAATTTCTAGGATTCATCATAGGGCTACTGTATCACAACTTCCACAGGAGGACTCTGTAGGTGATCCTGAAGCAGTGAGCTGGGTTTTGGCTAAAGGTGGAATCTGAAGTTATTTGTCAAGGATCAGAGAACCATCAAGAAGCTCAAATTTGAATCTTCTGTATAGTGGTCAAGTGATCCTAGAAATACATTGAAATTGTCTGATCTTAGTTTCCTTATTTGTAAGCAGGGCAAATAAACTTGGTGAAGGTTCAAATGTGAGGGTAATTGTAAGCAATGTGTCAAATACTTAGGATAGGCCATTCCTGGCACATCCCAGGCCATCCGGAAATGGCAACTCTAATAATCACCCATATTGATGTCTTAAATTCAGAAATAATGAGGCTGTGTGGGGCAGCCTACCCAATATGAAAGTAGTATTCTGAATTAGGCACAATACGTTATCAAGTAGTGACTTCTTTTGTCATCTGCACGTGCTTTCCCAGCTCTCCAAAGCCTATGGCCCTGTGTTCACTCTGTATTTGGGCATGAAGCCCACTGTGGTGTTGCATGGATATGAAGCAGTGAAGGAAGCATTGATAGATATGGGAGAGGACTTTGCTCAAAGAGGCGATTTCCCAGCCATGGAAAGAATTATTAAAGGAGAAGGTATGTGTGGGTGTGACACGTGCACTATGATTATTGTGGTGGGGAGGACAGAAAATGGGGCTTGAAGATCTCCTAAATATTCTTTGTCCATCCCCTTAACTGTCAAGTGTCAGCTTTCTTCTTCCCTAGGACCCCACCCCAGTTTATATTTACCCTCTGTTAGGAGTTGTTTTCAGCAATGGAAAGAAATGGAAGGAGATGCGCCGCTTCTGCCTCATGACCCTGCGGCATTTTGGGATGGGGAAGAGGAGCATTGAGGAACAGGTTCAAGAGGAAGCCCGCTACCTCGTGGAGGAGTTGAGAAAAACCAATGGTAGGTGATTCTCTGCTCAGTCGCTGTGACCTTAACACACTGTATTCTCTAGTGTCATCCTAGGGGACACATCAGGGTGGCCCAAATCTTCCATTAGGGGTGGTGGTTGTTAACCCTTGTGTGGAGACAGGGAGTTTGAAGCACAGAGTTTGATACACAGAAGCTTTTGTGTATGTATGCTTGTGTGTGTGTGTGTACGTGTGTGTGAGTGTCTGTATGTGTTCATTCATGATTTTTTGTACAGTGTAGGTATCAAAGGTCCTTTCATCTGTTTCTCTCCTGAGGTCTCTTTGTTTTTAAATGAGAAGTCATGAGGAATATTTTGAGTCATTTTCTGAATGTGTGAGAGAGCGGTGTTTCATACTGCAGCACATTTCACCAGGGCTGCCAGCCAAGCATGTAGTGGGAGTGACCTCGGGAAGCAAGTGACATGTGTTTTCACTTCACTGGATGTGTTTATATGGACAGAACTCACACCCATATGACAGTCACTGCCCCAGACCAGGTCTGTAGTTTTGGCCAGTAATAATGCCGTCTGTTGATAGATTTTAATCAGGTAGGCATGTCCTTGTGTTAATCTAAGCAATTATGGTTTCTCATTTCATTTCATTAGGAAATATTTTCTCACTTTTCAAAATTCCTTATGCAGGTAATTGCTACTATCTCTCTAAGGGATCACTTTCTGATATTTCTTTCAGACCTGTTCTGGGAGATGTTTCCTGAATTCTTGTGGTTCTTTTTTAATTTTGTGGGGATCCAACATTTAAGTAAATGTACAATTTCCCTGTCTTTATGGATTGCCTTTTTGTAAGGCAAAGTCCTACCAAGTATTCCTAGTTAGATTTTCCAGGAGAGTCTGAATTTTCTTTATTTATACATGAAGTTTCTGTGTGACACTGTGTACACCTTCACAGTTAGTGAGGCTACGGATTTCATTGTAATGGGTGCTTGAAATTTGTGCTCCCCTGTAGTACTGCAACTCCTTAGCTGGCTTCACAAAATGTGCTAGGGATTTTCAGACTCTCTATCATTGCTAAATCAGTGTTTTCATGCGAGAATAATAGCTGGCACCTTCTCTTCTGCCAATTTCTTTTTTTTTTTTTAAATTTTTTTTTTTTTATTAATAGAGGCATGTTTTATTTATTTATTTGTTTGTTTGTTTTGTTTATACATGCACTGGGTACCGTCAGAAGCACGGGAGGGTGAGAGAACGCACCAGAGCCAGAGCGGGGAGCAGAGCAGGCAGAAGGACCGAAGTACACTGCTGAGGGGAGCATTGGGCGGTCTTCTGCCAATTTCTTGATGTGACTGTTATGCAATACATTGATTCAAATCTTTCCTAATAACATCTACAGGGGTGAATTTTAGACCTTTACCTTAAACAATCTTTCAGGGGTGAATAAGTTGCCACAATTGGGTTTGCAGATCTCTTACCAAGGAAATAAACCCGTTTTCCCTGTACGATTTCTTTTTTTTTTTTTTTTAAAGATTTATTTATTTATTTATTCATATAAACACTGGGTACAGTCAGAAGCGCGGGAGGGTGAGAGAATTCACCAGAGCCAGAGCGGGGAGCAGAGCAGGCAGAAGGACCGAAGTACACTGCTGAGGGGAGCAGCGGGCGGCAGGAGAGGTCTGCGCACCATGTGGGACCCTCCTCTGGTGGCCGGGGAGCAGCCGGGGATCGAACTGGCGCCACGGAGGCTGCGGGTAGCCTCGCCACCCAGCACTCAACCGCTGCGCCACCAGGGAGGCCCTCCCTGTATAATTTCTTTACTGAGTGTAGAATTGACCTAACCTAGATCAGGAAAAATTTTAAAAATAATTGAAAATACTACTGTTTTTCTTCTTACTAAACATAATCCTACAAGATTTTGTAGCATAATTTTCCCAAATAAATTAATTGTTGCTGGTGAGTAGAAATGATGGACATTTGATTTCTAGGGAGGAAAGTTTATTTCCAGTGATGTGAAAAAAATGAAAACTAACAATCAATTTTCATTTTTGGTTTGACTTACCTGCGATTTATATTGGAAATTTATATTGGAAATTTCTCTTTTGATTTCTGCTTTGAACAAATTGTCTTATAATTTTTTTTTTAAGATTTATTTATTTTTTATACAAGAAACAGAGTACGGGCCAGGTGCGTGGGAGGGTAAGTGCATTCACCGGAGACAGAGCGGGAAACAGAACAGGGAGACTGACGAAATACACTGCTGGGGGGAGCAGCGGGCGGGACAGGAGAGGTCTGCTTTGCCATGTGCGATTCTGGCCGGGATCGAACCCGCACTGCAGAGGCTGCGGGCAGCTTCATAGTGCGGCGCTCAATGGCCTGCACCACCAGGGAGGCCCAGTGTCTTATAATTTGTATTCACTTGTTTAGTTTCTTGTTAGTCAACATAGATAGGTCCCACTCTTTTGTATTTATTCTTTCAAGAATATGATTTTACCCATAATCTTTCCCTCTCTTTTCTTTGCCCTCTGCTGATACTGCGTATTTTGTGTATTTATTTATTAAACAAAAAGCTTTCAAGTCCTTAACTATTCCCTCTACCTGTGTGGAAGCTTAACTCTGTAGACTTTGCGTACAAGTGAGGTTCAGCCCTAATAACTTTATTAACAGTATATAAAAATGGTTTTAAGGGTCTCACTGGTGGCTCAAGGGGTTAAGTCTCAGCACTACACTGAAGCCATTCCCAGCAAGGGAGTACCTACATGGCTCAGCAGACCTCTCCTACCTTGTACCCTGCTCCCCTCAGCAGTGTGATTCAGTCAGTCTGCTAGTTCTGCTCCCCACTCTGTCTCTGGTAGACCCTTTTACTCTCCACACCTCTGGCCTACACCGCAGCTCTTATATGCATAAAAAAATAAAATAAATCTTAAAAATAAATGTTTTCTGTTATTTTCTTTCTTTTTGCCTATTATTAAGTCAACCTGATTGGAAAGTGTATTTGCAAAGACAATGGAAGTAAACTAAATATTCAAAAATAACCACTATTTAACTAGATAGGTTGAACCATATATCCCAGGTTAATGAAAATGTGATAGGTTGATTTCAATTTTTATGATCATTATTATGGAGACCATGATTTAAAACACTGTGTATGCTTTAGGGTATAGCTTCACAGTGTTGCCATCGTATGTTGCCACATCATGCTTCCCACCCAAGCACCCTTATTCCTTCACCATGTACATGAGCTCCTTCCTCCTTTCCTCCCCTTTTTTACCTTACTTTCTGGTAGCCTCAGTTCTGCAATTAGACTTCAAGGGTGTGTTTGGGTCTGTTCCTTTGCTTTGTTTCTTTATATTCTCATATGCATGAAATCACCCAGTGGATCTTTTACATTGTGACTTCTTTTTTTAGCATAATCCTCTCCTTTCCACCTATGTTGTCGCATGTGGCAAGATTTCAGACCTGAATACTAGCTGAGCAGCATTCTCTCGTGTATACATATCCCATTATCTTCATAGACTCATCTGGTGATAGATACTTAGTTTATTTCCATACCTTGACTATTGTAAATAGTGCTACAGTAAACACAGAGTGCATATACCCCTTCCAATTAGGAAAGAAATTGCTGGATTGTATGGTAGATCTATTATTCAATATTTGGAGAAACCTCCATGCGGTTTTCCATAGAGCCTGCACTAGTCTACATTCACTGATATGTTCCTTTTATAAATTATGTCTCTTGCAATTAAAGGAATTTATATATAAGGCAATGAACTTCCTTAAATATTTCCTCCTGATGGGCCTCCCCGGTGGCGCAGCGGTTGAGCGCTGGGTTGCGAAGCTGCCTGTGGCCTCTGCGGCGCCGGTTTGATCCCCGGCTGCTCCCCGGCCACTAGAGGAGGGTCCCACATGGCGCGCAGACCTCTCCTGCCGCCCGCTGCTCCCCTCAGCAGTGTACTTCGGTCCTTCTGCCTGCTCTGCTCCCCGCTCTGGCTCTGTTGAATTCTCTCACCCTCCCGCGCTTCTGACTGTACCCAGTGCATGTATAAACAAAAAACAAACAAACAAACAAATAAATAAATAAAACATGCCTCTATTAAAAAAAATATTTTAAAAAAATATTTTTTCCTGTTATCTAAAAACAAAGTGTTTTCCTATCTGTATATGTCTATGTGTGTGTTTGTATTTTGTTTAATAGTGTTTTCAAATTGTTTCTGATTTTTTAGCTTCACCTTGTGATCCCACTTCTATCCTGGCCTGTGCACCCTGCAATATGATCTGCTCAATAATTTTCCAGACTCGCTTTGATTATAAAGATCCAATGTTTTTAAACATAATGGGAAGAATCAGTGAAAATGTCTCAATTTTGAATTCTCCATGGATTCAGGTGAGGTCCTGATCCTTTTTCCAGAGGAATCATTTAGTTCTTTTGTCTAAGAAGTCCAGATCTCTGCATGCACCAAGCTGTGAAGTGCATGCGTGAGCACCACAATCCTGCCTAGATAGATTCAGCCTCAGAGAGTGGTCATCTGGGAAAGATGGCCTAGACAATTAAAGATACAAAAGAAATCATATTCTCAGAACACAGACCTGGAATCCAATCCTATTGATCCTATTTCAGGTTGTTTCTACTACACTCCAAAACCCAGATTCCATGTTCTTTGGTAACTTCCTCAAACCATGTCCAAAGAATGAAATAAACCCCAGGTCCTTGTTGAAAGACTTCTATCCCTCAGTACTCTGTCATCCTGTTAACTCTCAAGAAGTCTAATTCACACTGTTGGCAGAAATATGCAAATTTAGGAAGAAAAAGTGTATTTCGTTCAAGGAGGACAAATAGTCGAGACAACAGAAGCTCCAAGGAACACATATTAGGGTTGGGTTTTTTGAGGCATCAGATGGGATCCTACGTGTGAAAGTACTTGTTTTGGGGATGATGAATTGATTGGTTTTATGGTAACTAGCCCATAACAAATCTCACAATTTCCCCTGTGCTGCTCCAATGTGTTTTGCAGTCTGCCTGAAACATAATGATATGTCAGATAATGTCACTTCACTACACTTGTGCAGTTACACATAAAATGTTGAGGTGTGTTTCCTGGTATCTTCAGTACTCTCCCGGTCCTCAAGTACTGATTCTATGTTTGAGGCTTCTAAATATATATAGAAATGGCTGAGACTAACTATGCCGAGCTTTTTATAAGATTCCCCAACCTTCCTTCATCTCTGTTGTCTTAATCATAGTAATTTATGCCATCCATATTTCCAGAATTGACCTAAGCAAAAAGAGAATTGATATAAAATTAGCTTGTAGTATAAGTGTGGTGTTTGAGAATGGAAAATGATACCCTGATCAGAAATGTCTCTCTCCAACACTCTTAGCATCCTATAAAATTATACATGTGTAAGATAAAAATTTTCTTCAAGATAGAGACCACATTTTATGAGTATTTATAATGTAGTCTCCACCTAAGCGTTATCTCTGTCATATAAGTCGTCAGTAATTTTTTTTATTGAGTAAGCTCTAATTTTCTCTTCTAGATCTGTAATATGTTCCCTGTTCTCCTTGACTTCTTTCCTGGGAGTTATAACAAATTATTTAACAACATGTCATATTTAAAAAGCTATGTTTTGGAGAAAACATTGCAACACAAAGCATCTCTTGATATTAATAATCCTCGGGACTTTATTGATTGTTTCCTTATCAAAATGGAAAAGGTAAAAATTAATGACAGCTGTTTTTCTGCTTAATTGCTTGTGTATATTATGGTTCATGGAATTGTTCTGTATTTATCAGGGATGTTTCAGTGGTCAGTGGCTAAGACTTCCAAGCTCTTTCATACCTACATTGTATGTGCCTGTACACTAAGTATTATGGAAGTCTTAAAATTAAACAGCTAATTAAATGGAATACATTGATCTTGTTTCTAGATACTAATTTCAGTATTGTTTTGGCTGTTCTGGTTCCTTGTATTTCATTATGAATTTAGCATAATGTAATTTCTGCAAAGACGCCAGTGTGGATTTTGATACACCTTGCTTGCCTTACCTGTGAGGCAGTAGAAAATGATACTTCAGTCTACTGACCTCGTGTTTTGGATATCATATGGGAATTTTTCTAGAACTGAACATGCACTTGATTTTTTGGTGAAAAATTTATAACAGTCTGAATATATTTGGACTAACTATAAATAATTCTGGCAAATTAATTTATCAAGTCATTTCATCATTCCTAGGAAAAGCACAATCAAGACTTGGAATTAACTCTAGAATCCTTGGCATTTACAGTACTTGATCTGCTTGGAGCTGGGACAGAGACTATGAGCACCACCCTGAGATATGCTCTCCTCCTGCTGCTGAAGCACCCAGAGGTCACAGGTATGACCAATGTGGTGGGCAGGGTGAGTTTCAGGGAAGTTGCTGAAAGACACTACAAGTACTGCATTGCCTCCTGTTTCTCTTAGAGAACCTTCATTATTTAATTATCTATCTGACGAGCTTAATGTTCCCAAGTATAATGAAGATATAATAATGGGACATCTTTATATAATATGGGAGGATGAATAGGAGTGACGTCTCCATGGGCAGTCAGAAAAGCCATCAGGTAGTGACTGCATTTCATAAATCTTAAAAAAAAAAATGTCAGGTGTAGAGACTTATAAAAAAAAAAAAAGAAAAGGTCCCTTTGAAAGTAGGTGTATTACCCGAGATCTCTCCTATTCTGAAAATGTATGTTTTAAATCCGGGGGGGGGGGAATGTCCCTATTAAAAAATAAGTGGAAAGCTTTGAAATCTTGTTGTCTGCCTGAGATAATTTCTGCAGTCAAGGAAGTGGTCAAAAAATTAAATCACATATGTGTGTTTCTACCACTCAGGCTTAAGATGTGCATGAAGGTTTTGAATTCAGAAGTCTGTGTCCAGTAAAGTGATATTTACAAAATAGAACTTTGCCAGCCCATGCTTTTCTGTCTTTTACAAAGATCTTCCTGTTTATATTTAATAAGTTGCAGTTTTGCATTATGAATAGTAACATGCGTTATATTATCCTGTGAGTAACCTGCTGAAACGACTATAGCCAATGAGAAATGAGAATGTGTCCTTGTAATCTGGACAGACTAACTCAGGAAACAATTAACAAATACAGTTTCTAAAACGCAAATAGCATTTTGATCAGTGATGGTGACTCAGTAGAGAGGTGGAAGTTGTCATCTAAATGTCAGAAGAGGGGCCTCCCTGGTGGTGCAAAGGGTTAAAACACAAGACTATGAAGCTGTCCCCAGCCTCTGCAGCATGAGTTCGATCCTGGGCCAGCCAGGGAGCAACCCACCCGGCGCTGCAGACCTCTCCTGACTCACCCGCTGCTCCCCTCAGCAGTGTACTTCCATTGATGTGCCTGTTCTGCTCTCTGCTCTGTCTCTGGTGAATCCTCTCACCTTTGGCCTGTACCCCTGCTCTTATATGCATAAAAAATTAAATCTTTAAAAAAAATGTCAGAAGAGGACATATATGAAGAAGTCATTTGTATCCCTCTACGTTGTAGCATTTGGAAGTGTCAAAAAAGAATGAGGAGAGGGCCTCCCCGGTGGCGCAGCGGTTGAGCGCTGGGTTGCAAGCTGCCCGCAGCCTTGAAAGCGCTGGTTCGATCCCCGGCTGCTCCCCAGCCACCGGAGGAGGGTCCCACATGGCGCACAGACCTCTCCTGCCGCCTGCTGCTCCCCTCAGCAGTGTACTTCCGTCCTTCTGCCTGCTCTGCTCCCCGCTCTGGCTCTGGTGAATTCTCTCACCCTCCCGCGCTTCTGACTGTACCCAGTGCTTGTATAAATAAATAAATAAATAAATCTTAAAAAAAAAAAATGATATGGTACATACACATGATTAAAAAAAATAAACAAGAGGGGCAATAGGCAGAAGGTAGCTTTCCCCGCCCAGATTCCCTCCACACCTTGCTTTATCAGGTATTTGTTTTGATCCAATAGAATGAGAGAGCTGTAATATGTAGAGAAGCTGAACCTAAAAGACCTTGCCCTCCGGATCTCCCCTGGTGGCACAGGCGGTTGAGCGCCACACTGTGAAGCTGTCCGCAGCCTCTGCAGTGCCGGTTCATTCCTGGCTGGCGGTGAGGGTCCCACATGGCAGTGCAGACGGCTCCTATCATGCCCGCTGAACCCCTCAGCAGGGTATTTCATCAGTCTGCCTGTGCTGCTCCCCACTCTTTCTCTGGTGAATCCTCTCACCCTCCCGCGCATCTGGTCTATACCCTGGTTCTTGTGCGAAAAAAAAAAAAATAAACAAACAAACAAACAAACAAATATATAAATAAATAAAAGACCTTGCCCTCAGAGACACTGGCAGGTGGAAATAGGTTAGGTAAGAAAATCTATTTCTTGAATTCAGAGAATCTTAGCTCCTTTTCTAGCTTGTTTCCTGAAATTCAGCAGTAGGAGAATAAAGTCCAGAGAGTGAACAGCTCTGGCATTATAGATAGGAAATTTGCCTTTGTGCTAATATATAAGTATTAAATTTGTATCTTAATTCTAGCTTATAAGAGAGTTAGATGTATCTATATTATGGCTATTATCTCTCTAGGTCTAGATATATTTCCTGGTACAGCGCTGAGGTTTTTAATGATGTCGGGAGACTGATACAATGCTCCATGTACCCTTAACAGATATGCAGATGTGATAGGTGTTCTCTTTTCTCATCAGTCTTACTTGTGTTTTGTCAGCTAAGGCGCAGGAGGAGATAGAACGTGTGATTGGCAGACACCGGAGCCCCAGCATGCAGGACAAGGGCCACATGCCCTACATGGAAGCCTTTGTGCACGAGGTCCAGAGATACACTGACCTCCTCCCCACGAACCTGCCCCATGCAGTGACCCGTGACATCAGATTCAGGAACTATCTCATCCCCAAGGTAAGTTGGTTGTGCTTTTACTGACATCATGATTCTACTGAGATGTTCCCCTTTTCACAGCATGGGTCCAATCCTCCGGACTAGATGAACAAATTATAAAAATCATATATGTGGCAGCTTGATGGGTTTTGCATTGTTTCTGTTGAGACCAAATTTTGATAATAGCACCTTTCTATTTATATGTGTAAGAGACATTTGTGATTGGTGGTGTACTTTCCTGATGATTACAGTTTGTTCCAGGGGTTAGGATCAAATTCACTGTTTTCACCTAAGGACATAGTGAGGAGAAGAGTTCTTTTTGAATATTGGGGTCAAAGAGCAATATTTAATAGAACTCATTCTGCTATTTCAAGGCCAATAACAATAGGGCACTGGGCTAAGTAGGATTGTACATGTTTCCCATCTGCCCCAGTTGAGAATGATCATTCCCCTTTTTTTGGGATATACTGACATAGACTAGGCAGCACTGCAGGGCTGAGTGTGTCTTCTACCATTTGCATAATGTTTTCTAATCCAAACCGGATCCACGGATCAAGGTACAGTCTAAGACAGAAGTTGGTAAAAAAAACTTTCCCTAGTGGGCCAGATTTTAAACATTTCAAATTTTATGGGGCTTGGAGTATCTGATGCCAGTGTTGACATCTGTCATTGTAGCAGGGAATCCATCACAGACATTTGTAAACAAATGTGGGTGGCAAATTCTCAATTTTATGAAAGCCCAACTTTAGACTTCATACACTTTTCATGTACCAAAGACATTTATTCTGCCTCAGTTTTTTTCAATGGAAAATGCTTACCTCCTGGGCTAACCAAAAACATAGGATTGACTTGATTGCACATGGGTTGTTATTTTTCCGTGTCTGTCTAACAGCACGCTTTGAAATGATGTGAGGTGATTTGTGTTTTTCTGGGACCCATCTGAGGGAAATTTTGCAGCCCAGGGTTCAAGATATACCTTCATCTATTTTTGAAACTTATCATTTTAGTTCCCATGTTTAATACTGATCCATTCAACTAATTTTTACTCATGCAAAAGCAGTGGTGAAGTAGTGGTCATGCTTCGGTATGAGTATCCATTGTTTGAACAACATTTGATGAGATTATATTGGCTGTATTTTTTTTTGCTTTTTTTGTATCTTAAAAACATTTTTCATATTTGATTATTTCAATATAAACAGAAATAATTTTTCCAATAGAGATATAGAATTTTTATATGGTAAACTTAGGGAATGGAATTTTCTCCAAATTTGCATTAAATTTTAAAAAATCTGAACACATTAAAGGCATATAAATGTAGTGGATGTATGTGCCTTACATGTATATGCCTTACATGTAATGGATGAAACCATCTAAACTGCATGCCCCAGGTCTTCAATGTATATATCCAAATAATGATTTTTAGACAGAAAGCAGATTTCACAAGAGTTACCATTATGAAATAATGTCTAATGTGGAACCTGTGTAGTGTTCCCAGCTTTCCTAAACTATCCCAGAATAGTTTTTCTTTTCTTGTATTCCATCAAGGAACCACATATAGTTTGTTTGTCTTTTCTGTTTAGATTCCTGGGATCAGTTTCCTTTGCTCTGTTTGTTTCTTTCAGTTCTTCAGCTTTGTGAAAAGTCTGGCTGTGGTCATAAAAATATTCCTCAGAGTTATGTTGGGTGAAATTTCCTAGAGACTAGCTTCCCATTATGATTTTGCCCAGAGAAGTACATAGTGCTCTGAATGTCCCACTGTAACCCAGTGAGGCAGCTGAGGGCACATGAAGTCACTTATTCCATTATGGCCATGCTATGTTCCCCACATAATATCATGGTACCTGCCAGATTGTGAGTATGGTGCTACCGAACCGTTCATCCAATCCTAAATCCTTTGATAACAATCAATTGAATTAATGATCATAAGACAGTTGTTGCAAAATGACTATATTTCTCCTTTTGTCATCCTTTCTGTTTGTGGCTGGGATCAATCTGTGATGATGAAATCTACCCCATGTTTTTGAATTAATAGAAACAACCTGCTGGGGCAGTGATAAAAACACTAAGAGTTGTTACTGTACTTACTTTATTATCACATAAGTTTTTTTTTTCTTTTTTTTTTACACTGCTGAGGGGAGCAGCGGGGGAGACAGGAGAGGTCTGCTCACCATGTGGGTTGCTCTGAGGCCGGTGGGGATCGAACCAGCGCTGCAGAGCCCGTGAACAGCCTCACAGCTCTGTACCCAACCACCGGTGCTACCAGGGAGCCCCACATAAGTTATTTTTAATTTGATTGATTACAAAATGTCTGTGTGTAACTCCAGACATTTCAGGTTAGATAGAGATTTCCATTTGTAAGCATAATCCATATACGAGATGCTTAAACAATGAAATGATAAAATCAAGGTACGGATGAGGAAATACCCTCAGGGAAATGTGATGAACAGAATGGCTTCAGAGGCCTGGCACCCAGGGTTCAGATACTCACTACTTTAGGTGCCACTTAGCAACATCACTGCCACTGGTCATATGCTGTTTCTTGTTATTACTTATTCTGGCTGACTTAGAATGCCCTTTACCTTCATGGTGTAAGGTTTTTTTAATCTTTAGATGCTAAGATGGGACTAAATGATTTGTAGCTTTTCATGTAGCTCCACGACTTCATAAGACATTTTAATTCTTTTTTTCCAGGGCACCACCATATTGACATCACTGACTTCTGTGCTGCATGATAGCAAAGAATTCCCCAACCCAGAGGTGTTTGACCCTGCCCACTTCCTGGATGGGAGTGGCAACTTTAAGAAGAGTGACTACTTCATGGTTTTTTCAGCAGGTAGTGTATCTTTTGTATTCTTTGTGCATCAGAGGACAAAATACCTTGTGAGGATTGTTAGGAACTTCCATGGTACCCTCTCCAAGGCTGGTGCAGGTGCTCTTGTCCATTAGCAGGAGCACCGAACCCTGTGTCCATGCACTTTCCCTCCTCATGATGCAGTCTTCTCTTTGAGCTAGATCACTGCAGAACTGGGGAATTGATCCAGTTCTTCAAATTCAGAAATGATTTAGTATGAGGGCCTGAAAATATAAGAGTCATGCCAAAGGAACAGCACTATAATATAAAACCTAAAACTTCACGGTGTATTGGGGAGTGGTAGAGAGAAGGTCTATGTGGAGTGCAGAACTGAAACAGTGAAGAATGAGAAGATCATGAACCAGATCCATGCAGAAGAAAGCATGGCCAAAGTATTTGTTTCTAGAAAAATATGGCTGGAAAATTGAGGTGTCAAACAGGCAGTTATAATGTGAGAATACTTAATGAACTATTTGGTACAGGGCTGATACTGAGTAAACATTTGTTGCGAGGAGGGTACCTGTTCCTTTAACATTCAAGTCAGAGCACGTGTTTCAACCCTTTGTCCAGCTATAGCCAACCATCCCGTTCCATCCATCCATTCACCCTGTCATCAAATATTTATTGAAATTCCCTTTCTCTTTTTTCCATTTCCACTTGAAGCTTTATTTATTTTTCTTTTACATCATTGTATTCCCCATAGTTCTCCTGTCACTGTATCACCCGCCAGCCATCACCATATCCCTTAGATTCATCCCTCCCATTTTGCTCCTTCCCCAATTTCCCTCCCTTCCTTTGTTTTATTGCTCAGTTCTGTGTTCAGCTGATAGTTTTGACTTTTCTTGACCTTTTGTTTGGTTTCTCTGTATTCTCCTTGTAAGTGATACCATCCGGTATGTTGTATATTCCTTTTCTGACGTCAGAAACACAGTGTTCAAGGATCATCTCTTCTGTATGCTTGCTATTTTCAGGAAAACGGTTATGTGCAGGAGAGGGCCTGGCCCGCATGGAGCTGTTTTTATTCCTGACCACCATCTTACAGAAGTTTACCTTGAAGTCTGTTGTTGACCCCAAGGACATTGACCACACTCTAGTTTCCAAGGGGTTTGTTTCTGTGCCTCCTCCTTACCAGATCTGCTTCATTCCTTTGTGAGGTTTCTGCTGTCATGTCCATATCTCCCACTCACCTGATGCCCCTGTCATCTCCTTTTGTCTCCCTTTCCTTTCTGGAAAAGTCATCTCCGACCTCTCCTCTACTCATCACCCCATTCTGTCAGGATCCAGGCAGGAACATCCATCTCCACTAAGGAGGATTTCCAGTTTCACTCAAGAAATATATGTATAGCTTCTCCTTGCTCTGTAACATTGTATTGGGCATCTCATATGCCAATACTTATCTGGTATTGAGTAGTTAGTTCTGTGTCATCAGTATGACAGAGTGAGATGACTGGTGTATGTAATACAGACATTTTTCTTTTGCATGTTCTAAATAAAACTCAAAATCTGATGAATCAGTTCTCATGCTTTCATTCCTTTGTGTATAATGCAGATAGCAGATGGAAGAAAATATTTTACAAAGAGACCATGCACAGAAAAGGACAAAATCTTGAGGGTAGAACAGCATGTCACCTAGAATTACTTGCGATTTGGAAATGCAAGTGTGAAAATGTGTTCAGGAGCAGCTTCATCTGAAGAAAACTATGACATCAGTGATTCAAAAGTGTCTATCTCTATCGAGTTCTAGATGAGGCAAAAGTAATCTGTGGTGCTAGTATCCAGAGCATTGTTAATTTTGAGGAAGGTGAGTGACTGGGAAAGATCTTGGGCCTTTTCATGGAATTTGGATTTATTTGAAGTTTATTCATTTTTATACAAGAACTGGGGTACTGATCAAATCTGTGGGAGTGTGAGAGGATTCACCAGAGACAAGTGGGGAACACAACAGGCAGACAGACCAAAGAATACTGCTGAGGGGAGCACCAGGTGAGACAGGAGAGGTCTGCCCCCCATGTGGGTATCTCCCTGACTGAGCGGGAATCGAACCGGTGCCTCAGGGCTGCAGATAGCTTCACAATGCTGCACTGGGTGGCCCGAATTTGGATTTTTCTATGCCTTGCTCTGACTGGTTTCTTGGGTGTTGGTGTTTGAGTATGATATGAGCAGTAGTTCT